CTGGCTAATCTATTGTTTATATAATTGCATTAATTGCTCCTTCTAATCTCAGTAATATCTACTGCAGGAGTCATACAGGATTCATTCCAAGGTAATGGAATTGGAAGAAGATGAGTTAAACTACCTCTGCCTGGCAACTGAACTGTAATTAATATTAATTATTTATTCTCCATAAAAACAGAAATACATATTTCTGCATCTATATACATGCTAGTATTGGGACTGAAGTCTTTTGCCATGCTCAACTTTCATGCAAAGACTTTATTGTACTCGCACTGATGTTACCTAGTTTGAGTAATGAAATGTCTGCAAAAAAAACCAAGCAAGCTGAGGGAGCACCAAGGACCACTCATGTCAATCCTGAACTACAAATAGTCTTTTATTAGAACTTCATTGTACAGCTGAACTTACACAACTTGGCTGATCAACTGCAGAACTCTGCCAGGTCAAAAGCCACTCTGGAATTCTGGGATTTAACATCGGTTGAGGTTGGCAGCTAAGATGATTTATTCTTGATTCAGCTGCGGTGCAAGCCAAATTGCAAAAGGTCATCTGTATTTTTACACGGGTGACGTTCTGAAAGTTGGGGAAGTATATTTCTTATTTTTGCTCACCCATCCATCTGGCAGGTCTTTTAATGCTGGCTTTCTTCAGCAGAGGTAAAAAACCCCAGATGGAAACAGTCCAGAAGACCAAGCAGGCTAGCAAACTGCTGGATCTTTATGTATTTATTTTCCTTTTGTGTGGAATCAATGAGATTTGGGTTTCTCAAGTATTAAAAGGCTCTACAATAAGTCCCAGTTCATGAAGTCTTATCAGCTTGGACAGGACATACTGTAAAACAAATAGCACTGCTTCTAGGTTTCTATTGGTCAAGTGAAGGGACAGTTTGATTGACATACTGTTCTCAGTATTCCTTGGTTAATATAAGGGAAGTATGTCTTTTCAGACTGCTTAAGGAAAAATGAAAATATTGCTCCTTAGAAGTGCCCATAAACTCTTGTACAGACATATAATGAAGTTAGTTTCAGTGACGGATGTATATGGAATAATGAAATCAAAATTCTGATACATAATGAACACAACTAAAAATTCCACAATTTTCTGCACTTTATTTTATTTAGCAAGATAGTAAGTTCATCTGATCACAGGGAATTGGAGTTATTCTTCAGGCCATAACTCTTAGACCTTTTAATAATAGATTTTTTGAGAAAATTTGTCTACATGAGAAAACTAGATTGAATGCCTGAGTTTATTTCCTATCCTTCCTTGTTACATGCTGTGAAGAATGTGACTACTACAATTATATAAACTCAGAAATGTAATACAAAGGAAACTGAGAGTAGGAGGAGGGAGGGAGGGAGGGAGATTCTTAGAAAATATTGGTCAACCCTTCTATTTAGTTCAATAGAACACTCATTAAAAGTATATGTAATAATTGAGGGACAGCAAATATAATTATAAAATCATCCTCCTGCCTTACTTTGCAGCATATAGGATATTATTAGGCTGATTCCTAGACATGTGTGTGGCATCTAGGAATACTAAGTAGTTTAATAATGGAGGTAATAATTTTTAATCTTATTTTTTAAAGTGTATTTTCTTATTTATTTCCATTATCATTTATTCCGAGATAATTTGCAAAATTAAGTTATACTAAAAGAAGTCAGGTATACTTCCGCTTTGAGTATCCAAAGCTCTTGTAAAAATATTTGAATTTTATAAAATTAAATATTCATAATAATCAGAAACAACTATTATTTTTATGTGGCATTTCATACCACATCAGTTGAAAATTTCTAGTTTTCAGCTCTAAATAATATTATTTTCTATCAGATTAACCCTCAGGGTTAGCAAAAAGAAGATTTCAACATATAGCAACATTATCCATGGCTATGACATGCTGTATTTCTGTATATGTAATTTTGGTTTGCTCCAAATATTTTCAGAATTATCTTTCTAGAAGTTTTGTCCAGGACCTGCATCAATGTGATCAATCAGTTTTATATTTAATCTTGCTATGACTGGATTCATACATTGCACTAAATTATAATAGTGTTTATTTGGTTTTGACTTAGAGTATTGGATGGGCCTAGGCATTATGGTGCATAAAACAGGTCCTATAGATGTAGCCCATTTCAGTTTAATCAATAAACCATATCATAATATGACAAATCTAATTCAAATCAATTTAATGCTGACTATCTATTAAATTAATGACTTCTCCTAGACTCACTAAAATCTGAAAGTGCCAACCAATGACATCTGGTCCTTGCCATTTAAGTATGAATCATTCATTTCTAACCTTTCTTTTAACCAAAACAACCTACTCACTGACATCAGTCATTTACACTTTCATGAAATGGAAGTTACCATTTCTACATTGCTATCAAATGAGTAATCCCATCCAATTGAAATAAGAAGCACTAGATGTGCTCCAGTGATAAATAATGCTACAGAAAATGCAAAAGATTAATATTAAAGAATCAGGCAATTTAAAGGTCACAAATGATGCATAAATGTAAGATTACTGAAAAAATAAGCAGTTTTGCATTTGCTTCCTATAAAATAGATTTGAGTAGGAAGTGGGAAACATATCTATTGGATCATGTGTTGTGGAGGTAAATCCAGTAAGTTGACAGGAAGCAGAATCTTACCTAGAATGTCTTAAAAGCAGTTTAGAAAAACCAGCTGTCAAAGGACTCTGGGTTTATCTACCATTAGAATTGACATAGGAATACAAATTGTTACACTTGTTGCTTGTTCTGCAGAAGTAAATTTTCAGATGTAGGTGTTTTTAAACACCTACAGTTAACTGAAATTTTCCAAGATTAGCTGCAAAATTACATACTTATTTAATATGGAAGTTGTATTGCATAAAATTAATTTAGATTTTCAAATTTTTATCAATAATGTTGAGTATTATCATAAATTATCTTTCAAGGACATTTCCTTTACCTGTAATTCTTCCAGGCACATATATAAATTCTGCCTTTGTCCAGTTCCATTGGAAATTTTCTAAACTGAAACTATAAATGGTATAGGGTTTCCTGAGCAGTGGGACAGCAGGTTTCCTGATCAGGGTGTTAGACTAGAAGACCTCCAAGGTCCCTTCCAACTCTGTGATTGTTAGAAGTTGGGAAGAATCATACCTTCCATGTGGCTTGGGTTCCTACTTCCTACTCATTTTTGATTCTGACCATCACAGGGAGTTGTTAAGGATGAAGAAACTAAATTTTGTTTGTAAACTTTATGTCAAAAAGACAAAAATATTAGGAAGGCACTCGACGAAGAACAACAGAGACCTGGAAAAAGGCACTATTTCAATAAATTCAAGATGAAAATGGACTTTGAAAAAAAGAAAAATCTTTCAAAGGAATCAGGATGTTCTAATCTCAAATTGGTATGCTAAAGGACACCAACGGACAGATTGTAATTTATTCAAAGATTAAAGAAAAATTGAAAGGGTATACTGAAATATAGATGTCAACCTCCAAGGTATCTGAGAAGATATTCCCTACCTACAAACTCAAGTTATAGAAAAGGAAGTTAGATCAGCACTCTGGTCAGTACCAACTTGTAAGACACAGAAACTGATCAAAATATGCATTTTAAACAATATGTATATGTATATGTAAACTAACTTTAATGTTAAGGGTGAAAGAAAATTCAACATTCAAAGATTGTGGCAATTTGTTGAGTTTTAAAATTAAGCAGCACTGATCTGTCTATTACTTCATTGAACTATTAAATGTATTTTAAAATCAAATATTTTTTTGGCTAAAGAAAGATTTTATCGGTATTTTAATGTATTGATTTTTCTCTTTTTTGAAAAATACTGTTATTAAAGATTTTAATAGTAAAAAATAAAACAAACTGAAATCAAAGAGAGGCAAAATAGAGATCAAAAGGAAAAAAAGGAAAAAGTTAAAGAAGTTACTTTCATACAAGTACAAGCAACTTACTATTTCTCCCCCCTTGATATTACATTATAGAAATCACCTCTTCCTGTGTCTCAAATTTTATCCATTCACAAATCCAAATATCATTAAAATTTCTGTCCAGTATTAGCAAAAAGTCCAGAAAGGATTCCCAGAATGTAGTCTTCATTTTAACCCCAATTAAACAGTTCAAATTTATATTCCTTTCCTTTGCTCCTAACGTTCTTCATCTTCGCTTCATTAAGATGGTCCTTTAAGATTTCATACTAATCTCATGTACAAGACACATTTATATTTTCACTTTAAAACACATTGGAGTTCTGGCTACCTGACTTTGGAAAACTCCAGGATGAATTTAAGTGTTGTACTGGGAGAAGTGGAAAACATGGGCAACAGTTGGATTCAAATAAAAGTTTCTTTTTACAATAACATTTTTGTTGTTTTGATCACACTTGACTTTTTGAAATTAGCATGAATATTGACTATTCACAATAGATATTCTGGATTTAAAATGCTTTACTGAATAAAGACTGTAATTGTTGCTTATTTGTAGCTATACTATTTTTCCAGTGGGATAGTTTGTTTAAATCTTTAACCGTGAACATTAATGCTGCTTCAGAAGACACATTTGTAGTATCAGAATGCTTTCAATTGTCCAAAAATGATGAGACAGGCCCCAAAATTATGTGTTGACAATGAAAATGCATCACTAATAAAGGAGAATATTTGTAGCTCAGGATTGACATGAGGGGTCCTTGGTGCTCTCTGAGCTGGTTTGTTTTCTTGCATATGTTTCATTACCCAAACTAGGTAACATCATCAGTGCTACTCTGCATCAAGATGCATCAAGAATTTCCTGGAAAAAAAAACACTTGAATCTGAATCCCAATTTATGAAACATCACTAGGAAGGCTATAAAGGATTTTGTTTTTAAATGTGGCTAAAAAGACATTTAAATCCTTGTGCTAACTAGGAATACGACTTAACTCGGTGTCAGAAAATAAAATAATTTTATTACCACAATGCATTTCCAATAACAATTAATATTTTGCTTCCCACTTTGAAAAAAACTTAAAAACTTATCAATTTGAGATTGTGTTATGGTGGTACTTTGGTAAATAACGTAAACATTTAATTATTTAAACTATATGTTCAATCATATTAATAATGGTAACATTCATATTTGCTTACATTAATTTTCACCTGAAGAATATATGGGAAGGCTAACAAAGGGTTAAGGGAAGAAATCTTGCTTTGCTTTTCTACTGAAGTATAGATTACTTCTGCTTACTAATTATTGTTCTTACACACAGGTCAAATTCTTAAGAGAAGAATGTATATACTTCCCACATACAACTGTAGCTACAAGAAAAGGGTTTCTCTATAAGATAAGCTTTTAAAAGATGTGTTCAACATATAAAGCATTTTCAAAAGAATTTGGATACATTACTGTAAAAATTAATATTATTGAAACAAAATATAGAAAGTAGACATGTGTGAAGTAGAGCTGCTTTGCAGAGCTATATTGACTCTGATCACCAGAGTATTTCATTCCAATGCAATGAGATGGACTTCATTGTAAATATCATTAGAAATGTGTTGCAAAGCAATACAGACACAGCAGTGGCCTCTTCAACATGGCTAACCATGCTGCATCTAGTATTGGGATTAGGTATTGGAATCCACTTTGCAAAACAGTTTCAAAGGGCATGTCAATCTATATGTCCACTGAGGCTTCACACAATATTAATAGAAAAGTAACTTTGAATATAAATATATTATCTAACTGAACAATTAATTCTTCTAAAAGGAAAAAAAAGATTTGATTTAAATAAAGAGCTTTCCAGCTTCTTTCATTTTTCTTCTTCTGTCGATTTTGGAGATTGTAGTCCATCCTGCCTCTTGCATCTTTCTTACAGTGGCAAGTTTCATCGAAGATCCTGGAGTTTTCAGAATAGATGGAGCTTGAATCTATAGATAAAATATTTGACTTAGTTTTTGGTAAATAGTCATTTTGAGGTCAAATTTGGCTTCCAGGAAATTACTAAAATACCTGCTTTGGTGTCCTGAAGCATAGATGAGAAGATTCTGAATAGTCTTTATTCAGCTTTTTAAACATTTCTTGTTCTGTTACAATACTCTTGGAGAAAAATAATTGTTAAAAGTAAATATTTGCATCTCCTGAATTTCTTCTTTCATGTTTCATTATATTACATCCTGCAAAAACTACCGTAAATTATATCTAATTTAGGGTGTTGTATTAGACAATAAAATGTACTATTCTTTCTCTCTCTCCCTCTCAGTTCACAAAGAATGTGATCTAAATTTATAATAGATCTATTCTTTGACATCTCCTCCACAGTAATCTCCATTGCCTGTGTTGCTTCTGTAGCATTATAGAAGGAGGCTGTATTAGTCTATGGTGGGGGCGAAAGAGACTCCTGGTTTTTTTGCTTTCACACTATTAATGTAGGACTTCTATATATAGGAAATAAAAATGTGGGCATGAAATACATATTACAATGAATAAGTCCTTCAAATCTCTAATTAAAAGTAACCTAATCATATGCCAATATTCCTGGAATATATAATTCAGGAAGTTGGTGAACATAGCAGTATAATGCAGTTCTCTAAACAATATTTCATTCTGTGGAATCAGTTAATAAAGTCTCAGCAGACTAATTAGGCAGCATGGCATTTATAAACGAGAAAAGTAAACAAGTTCCATTAAAATCAAGAACAAATAGGTTTTAGAAACTTCTGGAAGAAAACATTGAATGCTTACAAAAAGTCTGGGAAGAATTCCAGATAAATTAATTGAGAAATTTAGTAGTATCAAATATCAAATCATTCAGGAATTCTATAGCACTGAAGAACAAAAAATATGCCCAGTTGACCATCCTTTCATTACATAAACACAGATTTCATTTCAGTTAATTCAATGATTGTGAATGATCATCCTTAGATATTGGAAAAATAATTTCCAAGTGAAGAATCCAACACATCCTACAAAAAAACATAGCTATGTACAGAATTTTAGGAGGCATATTTGCTTCCTACAATCACAGCAAAGCTGTTCCTGAGCTTCTGATCTTGGATTGACATTAATGGAAGATAGTTTATCTGAATACTTTCTGGATAACCAAATATAAAACTTTCAAAAAGATATAAAAATATAAATAAAAAATTGTATGGGGAAGATACATATGAACCATATTGTCCTGCTAAGTCTAGCCTGTCCTACCTGGGACAGCAGAGAAGTCCTACTGCAGATTCCTTTTTTCAAAGAACTCTTGACTTCTACCAGAAGAAGAGCCTTCTCTGCCACTGTACCCATCCTTTGGAACATCCTGCTCTCCAGGGTAAGATCTGCCCCCAACCTTCTATCCTCCCATAAGAGCCTAAAGACCTGGCTCTGCAAGATTGCTAGGGACCCAAAGGAGAAGTTCAACTCTGGAGGTGGCTGCTACATTGATAGCAGATGCCACCTCCCTTCCCATTCTCTGCTCTCAACTTGCACATCCTTTTTTACTAATCATATTGATGTTTTCTTTGTTTTTTTCCCTTGGTTATTTTATTGTTCTATTTTACTTTTGCTTTGTTTAAACTTTTGATTTTATTTTTATAGTTGTGAGCCACCTAGAGTAGCTCCATGTCAAGATAGATGGCAAATAAATTTGTGTGTATATGTGTGTGTGTGTATGTGTGTGTGTGTGTGCACGCGCTAACCATTTATTTTATAAATTTGGAACATTATTTCCAAATTTTGGGATTTTTTATGAGTTACTCTCTCCACCAAGACCTGCTGGAGGGATTCCAAAGATACATGTATTTGGTTAGCCAACTATAGAGAAAAGAACACTGAACTGCATAGACAATAATGATGGTAGACATAGACAATAATGATGGTTATACTGTACTATCATGTCTAAAAGTAATCAGGTGTTTAGTATTAAGTCAGCTTTAATTTATAAAATATCAAACATTATTTCATATAGCTTATACCATTTTTATTCCTCATCAGTTTCTGGAGTTTTGTAAACTGCAACATAAAAGGAAGCAACTTTACATATAACTGAGGCCCTATAATTCGTTATAATAGCATTTATGCTCTAGTAATCTTGACAATATCAGGAAAATCAAACTAATACACAAATTTTTATATAGCAGGCAGTTAAGAAAGGGAATGCTCAACATTCCCAATTCGCTTATTTTACAAAGGCATCACTATTTCCCATATAGGATTTTTCTGTATCTCTTCTTTGCAACTGTGGAAGGAAAATATTTTAAACACAGCAATGTAAAAGTTTTCTGTACTTTGGAACTTCTAACTGCTGGAGTAAACTGCTGTAAATATTTAAAAATTTCAATTTTCAGGGAAAATTAGGCATACTAGGTGCAACACATTGCTGCCTAGTGTTCAGAATCACAACACTATTGTATAAACTTTTCCCTAAGAAAGGGAATAGGTTAGCAGGAGAAAACCTAAAAGTGTTAATTTCAACATTAATGTTATATTCCATGTAAATTAGAAATCACCATCAAGAATGAAATGGGTTAGCTACATAGGAAAATAGGATGACTTTAATTAGTATTTTTGAGGTCACAGATTCAAGTTTGAACTTAAAATAACCATATTCTTCCCTGTGTTTTCATCATCAAGACATAAAACTGTTTTAGGAACATATCTTCACATCTGAATCTCTGAGCTTAAAAATTCAGCAATTAGGGACCTAAATATCTGTGCTTTTCTTGAAATGTGTTAAAGGCAGCTGGGATATAGTTATTACATTTGGATCTCAAGAATTGAAGATTGATAGTTGCAGTTCTCTACGCATGTTGGAAAGAATATATTGCATGTGTTTTCTTACTATCATGAATGAATGAAATGAATGAAATGCCATATGTAGATGCCCATCTATTCACCAGATTTTCTGGCAAAAATGTAATTTTAATAATTTGTTATTAATATCCAATTTCTTTTTACAGAACCATGCATGAAAGCACTTTAAGAGTTCTTCTATCAGTAGGTGTTCCGAAATAAATGGCTACATCATCCATGTATAATATGGTATTTAATTATCTTCTACTTAAGCGACACTTTTCCCAACAGATTTTCAACCATAGCCTTCAAAATTTCTTTGATATGCAACAGTTAGATCTTTAAGAAGTAACTCAGGGGGACTTCTGGTTGCAAGGCTTCGGCGGCGGCAGGAATCCGTGATTCTGTGGGTCCCTGCTGCGCTCACTGCTGAAGTACCCCCGATCCAATTGGATTTGGGGGTTGTCGCTACCCCGGAGAGGTAGCGGAAGATAGAGGAGACCCGGGCAGGGGTCTGGGGACATCGCAACCCCTTTCCCCAGCCAGCTAGACTCCTTTTTCCTGAGGCGGTGGAGCGGCTGTCAGTAATGGCAGCCACAAAGAGATCTTCAACCAGACAAGATTTGTGCAGGAGGAAGAATTAGAAAGAGAAAGTTTTTTGGCTGAACTGGGACATTAAGATACATTTAAACACCCTGGAAATCTGACTCTTTGATTGATACATTTGTTTCCAAAAGAGGCTATCAAAGCGGTGGATCAAAGTGCTGAAGGGAAAGTTCACTCCCCTTCCTTACGGAGATAGCAAACGGACATTGAAAAACCTGCTTCTTTACAGAAGGTAAAAATAAGCTCTTTGTTATAAGTGGGAAGGGAGAGGACTAAAAAATCTTTAAGAATTTGTTGGAGGAGATGCCTTGAAGTTTACAAGACCAGAAATTAACTGTAATAAGGCTTTAAAATATATTTTGGGATTTTGCCCCAGGAGGAGAAAGTGCAAAGAGAAGAAGAGGAAATGTTTTGTGTCTGTTTGGATTGTTTGGATTGCTTGATAACTTTGGAATGTTTGGAAATTACTTTAAGATTAAAAACATTTGGGTTGTCCTTAAAAAAAGAAGAAGAAAAAGCTTTACAATGGCACTATCTGTGGATGAATTAAAAATGGAATATGAAAAATTAAAGGAAAGAGAACAAGAAGGCAAGGATTCTTTGGAAGAAGAAGAAGAGGAAGAAGAGGAAGAGGAAGAATAGGAGGAGGAGGAGGAGGAGGAGGAGGAGGAGGAGGAGGAGGAGGAGGAGGAGGAAGAAGAAGAAGAAGAAAAAAAAAGCCATCTTTAACGGACAAAAAAGTTCAACTAAGAAAGAAAATAGGAAGAGGGGAAGGAAAATTGAGAATTTAAGATTTAACAAAACAACCAAGAAAGAGAAAAATAAGGTGAAAAAAGGGTACAATGTTAGAAAGCAACAGAAAAGAGAAATACAACAGAGAGGGGAAGTTAAAAAGATGGAGGTTAGGAGAGGGGGGGCAAAAAGGCCAGACAGGAGAAGAAAGGGAGGGGAAAAGGGGGGAAAAGCCACAAAGGCTTGAAACAAGATGCCAGAAAGCAGATCTTTTTCAGAGATAAAGGGTAAAGCATAATTAAAGAAAGATTCTGCAAGAGTACATAAGATAGTATCGTAGTATTTGCATTTGAAATAGTGTATTGGAATATTATAAGATTTAATAAAATATTAAAATGTTTAATAATGATAGATTTCAATATTCAATAAAATATTAAAGAGAATGTATAAAATGATTAATGTTTAGTTATAGTTTAATTTGTTATTGTCTTAATGTTATTATAAATTTACTATTTCATTTTCTTATTTTAAAATAATGTATTAAGCAGAATTAGAATTAGAATGAAAATTATATATTTAACTATATTATAAATTTATTATTCTTTTATTTTAAAATGCAACATGTAGAATGTACTAAGCAGAATCAGAATGGAAATTATGTATTATTTTAAGTGTCAATTTAGGGGAAAGATAGAAAAGCGTCACACTTTAAAAGTGATTACAGGGGAAATTTTCTATTTAAGAGAAGAGATAAATAGATAATTGGAAAAGAATGGACAAAAGATACAAGTATAATGATTTTAAAATAAGATGAAATAAACAAAATATAATTAAGAGAGTGAAAAGAAGGGAGAAGCTATATAGAAAATATAGAATGGTAAATAAGATAAGAATGGTATATAAGGTGAGCATGAATTTGATTTAGGTCTGTAAAAAAAGATGTAACCCGGGGCTAAGCCACTTTCCAAAAAGAAGTTTTATGTTTTGTGTTTTGGTTAGCTATGTTTGACTGAGAATTAATAAAACCTTGGAGGAATAAAACTAAAGGGAGAAACAATGAGAAATTTGGAAAAGATACGTACAAATGATAATTTGGAATTATGTTGTATAAAAGAATGTCTTATTTGTTTTGTCAAAATCTACAAGTAGCCTTCAGAAAGGAGGTTTTATGTTTCTATGTCTTGTTTTATGTTTTGTATTTTGTGTGTTTATGTTTGATTGAGAATTAATAAAACCTTGATAGAAAGAAATATAATTGAATAAAAGTGAAGGGAGAAATAATGAGAAATTTGGAAAAGATATATATGTGCTTAAATGGAAATGTGATAATGTGGAACTATGCTGTATAAAATAATGTTTTATTTGCCTTGTTAAAACCTATAAGTAACTTTTAGAAAGGAGGTTTTATGCTTTTATGCCTTATGTTTTGTTTGTCTTTAAAAAATTAATAAAATTTGTTTTTTTTTTTAAAAAAGAAGTAACTCAGTATCACCTATTTGTATCTACTGACTCACTTTTTTTCCTTTGGGAAAGTTTCTATTATACTTGGTTACTTTCCATCTATAGCTACCAATTAAGAGCTAAATCCTTTTAATTCCCTTATTAACCTGATTTTGTCTTCTGATGTATTTTCTCACTGACCTTTAGTTAAGTATTTAATGTGCCACTTTTTATAATTTATTGGGATTAAAGTTTTAAATGATTAATTGGAAATGGCAGCTGCTGTTAATGAGCCCTTTACTATTTCTAATAAATAAAAGATTTATTTTGGTTCAGGTAAAAACAAATTGATAAAGGTTGGGTTGGAAATATTTTTCTCCCTTTCCTCTCATCTACAGTCTGGCTGCCCCTCCCTTATTTGTTCCAGGAATTCATGCTTAACTTAGATCTGACCTTAAATCTGATTCCTTATATCAGCTTATCTTCTTTTGGAAAGTAATCTATTTGATGCACTTTTCCAATTTCCATTGTTTCCTTCTGCCTCAAATAGAATACTGCCCCTTTGCCAGAGGGTGAATATTAATATATTTAAAAACCTGTTCTGAACAGGTTTAAACCTTTTTCCCACCTGCCAACTCCCACACCCCTAAAGTTTCATGCAAGAAGAAAGGGCATTTCAATGTTATATTTGTTTTATATCCAGATAGATTAGAACCATTAATTGTCCATTAGGTCACTTTGGTAAATCTGTCATCAAAGAAGCTGGATGAAAATAATTTTATTTGCTTGCATTCACCTCATTTGCAGTAATCTGCACCATAGTTTTGTTTGGGCGAGGACAGTTTCTACCCAAGTCATGGTAATGTAGTAACTGTCTCAAAATGATTTGTTTTTCCAATCTTTGTTATCTCTATATTGCCAGCCCGCTTTCCTTGAGAGGTTGTGATTTGATGTATCATGCTTATTCACATGATACATCAAATATCAACGCCAGGGCAAGAAACTTCAACTCTCACTTAATCACATCCTCCTCCCCATATTCTAATTGTATCCCATCCTCAAGAGATACAAGTGCTTCACTCTCCCTGAATAATACTGCAGATTATTAAAAGAGCCATAAGAATTTAAATTGAACTTAGTTATCATGTTGCACTATAGCAAATCTTCTAGTTTAAGTTGTTGTTAGTCTTTGACATTATTTTGCAAGGCCAAGCTCTTTCTACATAATTTCCTCGTGTTGATTTTACATGTTTTTGTGTTTTTCATATTTCCTTATTATATTGCTAATGCATCACCCCCTTCTCAAACAATGTAATAGGGTTTGCAAAAAAATTACAACAAAGTGAATCCATCAATGGGAAAAATTCAACAAACCAGAAGCAAAGAATCTACTATGGAATCTCTGAAGTAAGTTGCTTGTATCTCCTAGTCTTTCTTACTATGTTGGCAGTATTTTACTATCTAATGGTCAAGTGGAGAGTCAACAAAATATTCTCTTGCCTAAACAACCATCTTATATATTTACATTTTTCCAGTCATATCATCTATACCTGTAACCTTACAATTTTTAAACATTTTCACTTCATTTATAACTTTCTTTTCATAATTTTTATCAAGCCCTGAGGAATACCCTATTCTTGCTCTAAAAATAAGAATTTCAAAATCATGAATAATCACAATTGTTGAACATATTTAATTTACATTAAATATTACTATTTAACTTTAATAAAATAATTCTACTTTTTGCACATGTTTCAAGCCATTTTAATAAAAAGACAGAGTAATTTTTAAATTAATACCAGGAGATCAGTGTTGTCAGAGCTGTCTGACCGAGAATCCAATTCCAAAATAACTTTTCTTTTCTTTTTTCTTCCTTCTGAAACTAAATTGGTGTTTTCTCTTAGCAGTTTAGATTTTGGTGGTGTCTTTACAGTATATGTCTATACAAAATAAAATATTAGAAACAAGTTATTATGGCTTTTAACAGCTAAACCATAAGAGGTTCTCAACATTTTAACCAACAGTGTTAAATGTCTCACTTGATGCAATTTCTTATAATTTATGAGGGAAGGTATCTGAAATGATTCAACAAGGTAATAGCACATTAGCATTTTGGTTTGAGCATAAATAGAGGACTTGAATTCTAGGGAGGGGATATGGAATATCCTAATGAGTTAAAGTAATAATAATCCCAGGAACATTGCCCCTCCATGGAAAAAAGTTCAAATATGGACATTCCTATTCCTTTGAGGAGTGCCTAGGGTCATATTACATTATACTACACAATTTATGTATGTATGTGCGTGTTTAATTAGTAATTAAATAGTTTTTAATTTCTAATTAATTTAATTAGTATTAAATGATACTATTTAATTAGAATAATTAAAACTTTAATTATACTAATTAAAACACATATATAGTATTTAATTCATAATCTAGTAATATTATTGTCGGTATATAAGAAATTATGAACTGAGATAGCCATAACAAGTCAGCCAATGGTTTGGCGACTAAACAGCACCTGTTGTGAGCTATGCCAGATGGCTTGGATACTGGGCATGGCTTAGGGTAACTGGCCTGTATAAATATAGAGCTTCTGTGACTCTGGTAATTTTTGTGGTTCTGATTGCTTCTGCTTCTTGTATTTGCTACCATGTTGCAAGAACTGCATGGGTATTGTATACATGCATCATGTTTTATATTATTTTATATAAACAAGTTTCTTCTATAAATGAATCATGCTGAATTATTTACTTGTGTGCTGGTTGGATTGCTGCAAACTCTGATAATTATGGTTATTTTGGAATTCATAATATGATGTACGTATGGGCTATATATTTAACACAGATTAAGAGATTATGGTATTATATACTGTTGTAATTATTAAGTGATTGTTTGATATGTATGTCTTTATATTTTTAGTTTTATATCTGTTTCCTTTTGTTAAAGTGCATTTTATTATATAATTATATCTGGATTAAAGACAGTTGGATGCAATCCTTTTTTTGTTACTTTTTGTGTTTATTTTTTTAATTTTACTTTTTAAAGCTTTCCTTGTTATTCCATTTCCCTCTTTTCTCTTTGGTTGTAATTTTACATTTTTACCTCTTTTTATGAAATTTAATAAAAGCCTTTAAAAAAATTGAAATCCCTTGAAAGTCCCAACAAATTCACTAACAAACACTAGCATCATTATCATCTTCAAACATTTTTATCTCAAGGATAATTAAGATAATAAGAGATTATTACATATGCCAGATATGATACAAACATGAAGACAAAACAAATTAAAAATGATAAAATGAGTGTACATTTTTAAAGAAATAACAGAACTATGTAAAAAATCAGTAAAATTTTACACCAAGCCACAACATGAGAGAAAATTGGTATAACATGTTCTATAAATGGTATAAAATTCTTGCAAGAGTTACTATTCCAAAATCACTCAGTTAACTTTGTATCTAAGGCAGAAGTAGATTTCACAGTCTCCTGATTTTTAAATTGGTGCCTTAATGGCTCTAATGTACCCAAAAGGCTTGAATTAATAAAAATTAAAAAATATTTTAAAAACATTTTTCTCTAAAACTTAAATGGTTAATATTTGAAAACCAACTTCACAATAACTGTCTTTGTAAACCTAAAATAAATGAAAGAGAAATAAAATAATTTGTTAAAGAACAAACCTTGGCAGGTGTCCATGAAGACTTGTCTATATATTCTATGTTCTCATTAATAGGTATAAAATGTTGATGTATGTTCTTTTGTGCGTTAACTGACAGAGAGCCTGAACTAGTAGCTTTAGGAATTTCTACAAGTGATGCCTGTAGTTTCTAAAATTAAATATAGTAAGAACAGTCCAAAAGAATAAAAAGAAACCATACATTCAACTAACTTGAATTAATATAACTTGTAAGATACAATTATTTCAAAGTATTAGAAATTCTGACAAAAAAATCTAATCAGTCACTTTATGTTTTCTATTCTTTTCCAGCCAAACAGAATGTGAGAAAGAAATTTCCTTAAGGGACTCTGGACTTTACCTGTCTATCAGTAGGACTATGTCTGAAAACTGAACAATCAGCATGATCATACTTTGAAAGCTAAACAGATCAAAACTAAATTTGATTTGGAAGGAAGAAGTCAGCCAAGTTATATTAGGTTTTAAAAAATGAGCCAGACCAGATAGCAATGTGATCAGGAAAAATTTCTTCCTCCCTCCTGGCCACATGATCTTGAACAAAACTATTACCAAGGAGTTGGAAAGAATTCTAAAACCATGATCTGCATGCTCTCCTTACCTGATTTACTTCTCTGGCGAGGTTGTCCTGAAGGTAAAAAAAAGAAAACAAAGCAAGTAAAGGGATTTTTTTTCATGATCTGCAATATGTCTTTTAAGAAGTCATTTAACTTCAAAAAGGACCTTAACACCTTAACACCTACTCTCAGCTGAAAATTTAGCAAATGAAAATTTATAAATAAGCCTCATTAACTTTCTAATTCAGTTGAATGGAAAAATTAGTAACCATGAGTGTACCTAATTGTGTAAAAATATTAAAACTAAGCCGGCACAGAATTGGCTTGCCTTGACTCAATCATTGTTCCAAGTTATTGACTATATTGTACAATTTATTTAAAATGATTGGTGAATGGTGTCCACTTCAGATTTATCCAAATTTGTGAACTCTTTAGGTCTTAGCCTTTAATCTGTTTTTATCCTTCAGGTTTAAAATATATTTTAAAAAGCATAAAAAGTTGCTTCATGATTGACAAATAGGGCAAACTACTATACAAATTCTACTTTCATTATAATTTTCAAAAGGCTTCTTCTGGTATTAATTCACTGAAGATGCTACATTCATCTAAAAGATTCATCTAAAAGATTCATCTAAAGTTATTCCATAAAATTTGCAGTGCTGAATACAGTATGCTTCATAATATATTTAATAATGTTTGGTTTAGTAACCATGTTAAAAAGTACTATTAAAGAGACATATTTTATCAGAGAATATTAGTAGCTCAGGTTAAAATGAGGGGTCCTTAATGCCCTCTGAACTTGGTTGTTTTTTTTTTTTGCAGATGTTTCATTACCCAAACTAGATATGCAGCACTGATGATATTACCTAGTTTCAAAAAACTGCAAAAAAAAAACAATCAAGTTCAGACAGTACCCCTCAAACAATTTTTTTTAATTAAAAATAATAAAAGGTGTTTACTCCTTAACCTTTTCCTTCAGGTATGTAATGAGTTTATTAATTAGCTTGTAATTAAAAATCAGATACAGGCTTATTTAAATTGATATTTTATACATATTACTGCTGGATGACATCTTGTATGCTAATATAATAAATTAGGATTTATATTTTAGTGTCTAGTCATATGGAAGAACATTAAGAATTTAGTATTTGAACAACAGTGCATCTTTACTGTAAGTTCAGAAGACATACCTTCTCATTAATTTCTCTTTCAAGCTGCTCCTGAAGAGAAAAAACTTCATTTTTCTTACAAGAAAGTTCATTTTTCTGAGAATAACAATTATATGAGAAATAAAGTTGGGGTAGATCTTGTTAAATACTCATCAGTTTTTTAAAGTAGTAAAGTGTAAATATAGCAGAAAAAAGAAACTATTAAAAAAACAAAGTTTAACTCAAATTCTGGTGAATACATGCATGCCACCATGTAATTTTCACAGCAAAAACACGTAAGTGATTTGTCGTCATTTGTCAGGAAGTTTTTAAACTTGCAGTTTTACTCTGAAATTTTTGAGTGTTCTTTCATCCAAATACTAGCAAGTATGGCCATGAAAATACTTAAGAAAAAAATAAAGTTAAAACTCCTGCATCTAATGCACTTCAGTCTGAAAATAACTTAAAAAATATTCTTACCAAAGACTCTATTTCTGATGATAGTTCTTGCAGTTTTGTCTTATGAAACTCTAATTCTGTATCTTTCTCATCCACTGTTTTATCATATTGGTGCTGCATAGAACAGACATTTAGCAGTTTAAAAAAGGATTACATTCCGTACTGATTATGTGCCATCAAATCATCAACTCTTAAGAGACTTTATAAATTTTTTCCATGGTGAAGTATCCCTAATGTGAGATATTGTTAAGAACCAAACTAAAAATAATATGGAATTTGGATAGAATTATTAAGGAAGTGGGAAATGGTTGTATATTATTTCAATTAAGTATATTACATCATGGGCTAAACACAATTTATTTTAATCAGAAACTTTTACTATGGAGATTATATCACTTTTGTTTTTCAGTAAGAAGTACTGAACAGAAATCTATCTGCCTTAAGCGATGTCTCTTTTCAAGAAAAGTAGTGTCTGTTAATGTGCTGCACATGCATTTAAGACCCTTCTGTGTAGCAAAATGAAATGAGAAGGCCATTCTGTTGCTCTCTTCATTCTGAATACTGCTCTTTTCATAAGGCCACTTCTATTAATCACTGATCAAAACTTATTAGAAACAAAGGACCTTTCTCTAAATTCTGTAAGTCATAGGATTTTGACTATTCAAATATAAATCAATTTGGTTAAACGTTTGACTTCAGCTATACAGACATTTTAGCAACTCTACCTACTGACCACAAGGAGCAAATTTTCTCTTTGTTTTCTCTTTAAGCTCATTTATGGTTTAGTTGCTGTGGTTTGAAGGTGATACATTTAACATTTGTTGAAGACATGTTTTCACAATGGAAACCACCAGCCTGTTGTATTTTTAACTTGGGCAAAGGTGTTCTTATGCCAGCAAATACTTTCTAGTGGACATTCTAGGTTGCAAGGAAAAGGAGCCTTCAGAGGTGAACATTCTGTTACAGTAACCTTACTGCAAATGCACCATCACATTTCTGGTTAGTAGTTGTATGTCTTCATAGCTAAAACTGTTGTGGCTGGCAGAGGCCACCTCACTGAAACTGGATATTCCATCTAATTTTTTATGCTGGGACTTGGGAATATCAAACATGTGAAAGACCAACTATCAGGTACTTGTACGTAAGCAAAAATAAAGAAGGGCAACTTTGACTCACATTGGAAATGAGACAGCAGCTACACTAATGGGGGTTGCATGTGGGTGTGTGAATGCATGTATGTCTATATGATTTATGTGTAGAGAGAAAAAGAAAGGCCAAGATCTGAACAATTTTCACCTCCCAATACAATAAGAACAAGCCAGCCAGTTCCACTGGCTGTATTACTTGAAGTTTAAATATACAATCTCAGTACATATGTGGAAGAAAGACACATGTATTTAATAAAGATATTTTCAAAGAATATGTTAAGAATTCCCAAAAGCCATCACTCTGCTAAACAAATAATTCCCTCAACGCTGTTCAACTATTTATAAAGTGTATACTACTATTACTGTTAATCTTCTCATCACTCCTTATCACCCCACTTGTGATTGTAGGACTGTAATTTTGTTGCTTGTATCCTTACGATTTATATTGACTGTTTCCTAGTATGATTTGATTGTTCATTGTACCCTATGACTATCATTAAGTGTTGTACCTTATGATTCTTGATTCTTAACGAATATACCTTTTCTTTATGTATACTGAGAGTATTTACACCAAGACAAATTCCTTGTGTGTCCAATCACACTTGGCCAATAAAGTATTCTATTCTATTCTATTCTATTCTATTCTATTCTATTCTATTCTATTCTATTCTATGATGAAATATGAGGTGGGAGAGATTGTGCTTCAGTGCTTCAGTTTTACAAATAGGAGGGCATGTTTAAATTGGGGGAAGGTGTTGGGCATATTTAAATTGGGGAAAGGTGTAACATAATACAAGGATTCTATGTTCCTTTTAAAGATGATGACTTAGAAAACATGCTAATGTTGGTCAGGAGAATGATTAAAGTAAGAAAAATGACTTCAGAATGCTTAATCCATTTGGGATATAATTATTCCTCACTGGTAATGTTTATTATTCATCTTTCCCTCATTTTTCTGCAATAACATTTTGCTTTATGGTAACTACTCATAGTTCTTGCTTAGATTAAATTTCTTCTTTCAAGAAGCAGATATAAATGGCTTTTTCAGACATTAATTACAGACTCAGAACAGGGAATTAAAAGTAAGTGAAAAAGATTTTCCCTGAGTGCATCTAGTAGAAATGAAAAGTGAAGGAAACCTGAAATTTGTAATAAGCTTCCTAATAAGACTTTGCTTAACTTCTGAGAGAAAAGTCAAAACTCACTCTCCAGATTCAGGTTCCAAAGCCAGGTGTAGGGAAAGGTAGTATATAAGTAGTCTTCAACTTATGACCAGAACTGATCCCTGAATTATGATTATAACTTGTGCTGGTCATAAAATGGGTTACCATGTGATCATGCACAGTTTACAACCTTTTTAGTGCCACAGTCCTAAGTAAACCAGATGTAAACACAGGTTTCTTGCAAAAACAGTCATGAATTGCAGTCACAAAAACATGAAAGTGGGCTGGTTGCCAAGCACCCAAAATGGGAGGGAAGGACTGCCAGAACTTCAAAACTGGGTCATAAGTAACTCTTGGGAGGCTGATTATAGCTTCAAATGGTGACTAAGTAACTGAGTGTCATGGTCCCATTGGAGTCTGGTTCAAAGGAGGAGGAGGAGGAGTTGAAACCATGACCGTTCAACAGGGATAGCACATCTCCCTTGGCATGTTTCAGAAGCCAGGGGTTGAGGATGATTCTGTCCCAGGCCCCTCAGGCATTGGAGGAGGTGGTCAACCGAATGGAGAGCTGCCTGCCCTCATAAACACAGAGGATGATTGGTTGCTGACAGGCAGTGGTGCTAATGGTCAGTATTGTATTATCTATCCCTTGTTTATATGTAAATAAAAGACTATGCTTACCTTATGTTTTTCCATAAGTGCTACCATTTCAGTAATCTTGTGCTGACATCGAATATCTATCTCTTTCTGCATTGCCACTGCTTCATTAGTTAAAGAATTCATTGTTTCTATCTAGTAACAAGACAAAACATATGACTGAAAGTGATTAAATGAGAGAAAATGATTAAATGAATTTAATTAGGCTAATATACATTGAATTAGCTATATTTTTAATATAATAATTTTCAGATGTCATATATTCTGGATCCTCAGACAATACCAATCAATATAAGGCAACCTTAACTTCAAACAAGCATTTGGATTGGAATCTATCTTGATTATATTTGATATAGAGCCAAGATAAACATCAAGCTGATCTTCAAGGGTCAGACAACTGCATATCTTTAGGAGGAAAACATCACTAAAATATGATTTATTAAATTTTTGTGCTGCCCATTTCTCCTATAACTCTGGGCAGACTCCCATTATTCCAGGGTTGTCAAACTCAAGGTCTGTGGGCCAGATCCAGCCTGCGGGGTGCTTAGATCTGCCCCGCAGCACTGCCTTGGAAACAGTGAAGGACCGGCCTGCAGTGCCTCTGCCAGCAAAAAAAAGTAAAGCACTGGCCTGCAGTGCCTCTGCCAGCAAAAACGGAGCTTTCCATTTTCACTGGCCAGAGTGCTCGGGCCACCACAAGCCCCCCGACACAAGTGATGTTGAGTTGGTCATGCTCACCCAGCCCCCGAGGTCAAACACAACCCTGATGTGCCCTCAATGAAATTGAGTTTGACATCCCTGCATTATTCCAACCATTGTGTCATTCCCATACAAACATTTTAACTCATAAAAAAGGTTCTACAAGAATAGAACTAAGCCATTATGGGCTTTAGAGGTAAAAACCAATACTGAATGACACTTGGAAATATGAGCCTAATGTGATAGTATTTACTTCTCAGCCCAAGAGCTGCTATATCCTGTAGCAACTGTAGTTTGTATTGAAATGTTCCTTATGCAGAGTGCACTGCAAAGGTGATGAGGACATGGGTTACTATTACAAACCCCTGCTCCAAATAGAGCTGTAATGGAAACACCAAAAAAGCTGGACAAAGGTCCTCCTGATCACAGCCTCCATCTGCCCATCCACCAAAAGTTGTAAGCCTATCCACCAAAAGTTGTAAGTCTATATATCACAAAGCTGTTTCTTCAGGAGTGGCTCTCCATTCAGACTTAAAAATGGAAAAAAGAAGTAGATGACTTCAAAACAAACAGCAATTTTGTATTGTTTGAGTTCAACCTCAGCTTGTTTCATCCTCACCGGATGCTCAGTGCCATCAGGGTGCAACTAATCAATATCTTGACAGCTTTTTAGTTCAACTTACAGATTTACTACTGAGTATCATCAATGTACTAGTGGTGTGTCACCCAAACTGAGATTGTTTTTTATTTTATTTATTTATTTATTTATTTGTTTATTTGTTTGTTTGTTTATTTTTGTCAATTGCTTACAAGATAATAGGTATAAGTAAAAACATAGTTATGAATACAAGGATACATATAAGAAAAATAAAAAATAAAAGAAACAATAGGACAGGGACTTTTGCACACCCCCTACAGACCTCTTAGGAAAGGGGTGAGGTCAATAGTAGACAGTCTAAGGTTAAACTTTTTGGGGAAGAAACCACAGAGTCCGGTAGAGTATTCCAGACATTGACCACTCTGTTGCTGAAGTCATATTTCCTGCAATCAAGTTTGGTGCGATTAACCTTGAGTTTGTATCTATTGTTTGCTCTTGTGTTGTTGTGGTTGAAGCTGAAGTATTCATTGACAGGTAGGACGTTGCAATGTATGATTTTATATACCATACTTAGATCAGACCAAAGACAGTGTAATTCAAGGTTTTCTAGGTCTAGAATTTCAAGTCTGGTGGCATAAGGTATTCTACAACGAGTAGAGGAGTGGAGAACTCTTCTTGTGAAATATTTCTGGACTTTCTCAACTGTGTTAATATCAGATACGTAATGTGGGTTCCAGACTGATGAGCTGTATTCAAGTATTGGTCTAGCAAATGTTTTGTAGGCTCTAGTTATTAGTGTAATATTACCAGAGAAAAAGCTACGTAAGATTAGGTTAACAACTCTTAACACCTTTTTGGCTATGTAGTTACAGTGGGCTCTAGCACTTAGATCATTAGAGATGAGTATTCCAAGGTCCTTTACAGAGTTTGGATCATCAACAAGGTCTTGACTATTCAGCCTGTATTTTATTTTCTGATTTTTTTTGCCAATATGTAGGACAGAGCATTTATTTGTTGAGATTTGAAGTTTCCATTTGCTTGACCATTCTGATACATAGTCAAGGTCTTTTTGAAGGGTAGCAGTATTGTCTGTGGTGTTGAATAACTTTACATCATCAGCGAAGAGAACGCAGTTGCTCTTGATATTATCACAGAGGTCATTTATGTAGAATATGAAAAGAGTTGGTCCTAGAACACTGCCTTGGGGGACACCACTGTTGGCAGGTACAGAATTTAATAGGACTCTCCCAATTTTGACCATTTGTTGTCTGTTTGACAGGAATGCTTCTATCCAGTTATGCAGGTGTCCAGAGATACCGTAAGATTTTAGTTTTAGGAGTAGTTTGTCTTGTACCACTGAATCAAAGTCTATGTAGATTGCGTCTATTACTTTGTCCTGATCGAGTTGTGTAGTCCCTATGTTTTTGCAGTGTAAGAGTTGCAGATTACAGGATAGTTTTTTCCTAAAACCAAATTGTTTATCCAGCAGTCTCATATTGACAGTAAACAGAGTTGAAAAAATAAATACTTGAGAGACCCCATAAGGCAGTGGTCCTCAATCTTTTAGGCACCAGGGATGGGTTCCATGGAGAAAGATTTTTTCCGTAGACTGGAGGGGATGTGGTTTTGCATGGTGCTTGAATCCTGTAGATGGGGCTTCACTTGTTTGCGATGCCCAGTTTCTGGCAAACTGTAGAGTGGTACCGACCCATAGACCAGGAGTTGGTGAACCCTGCCATAAGGGACTGTCCAAGGAACAGACCACTCTTCCCCAACAATTATCTAGAACCTCTTTCTAATGCAGAAGCTGAGCCACTTAAAATATACCTCCATTCCCCAATTTTCAGAGGTAAATCAGTAGGTTACATGGCAAAGGGAATCAAATGCCATCAACAGATTAAATATGACCTAGTGCACTCCTCCTAGCCAGGCCCAATAAATGTCATCTATCAGAGCAATCAATACTACCCTAAACCCATTTTGGCACCTGAATCCTAAAAATCCAGATAATTCATTTCTTCTGGGACACACTGCAGCTGAAGTAGGCCACTGTCTCAACAATCAGCCCTAAAGGTGAAAGGCCAGGGTACAAAGCAAAATTATGCAATGTAACTTAATGCAAGAAAGGCCTCCATTCCAGATATAATGATAGCCTCTGTTCCATTTTATTAACTTTTTCACTGGTACTGCATTAACTTTTTTCCTGATTTTCAATCTGTATCTTTGGTAAACAGAAGGGCAAAATAACAGGAATATTTATTGTTCTCAGTAAGAGTTTTTTGTTCTTATTATTGTTGATATGAGGTTATCCAAATGCCTTTTACTCTCCCATTGGACTCAAAACCAGGCATCATCCTTTGGGAAGAAAGAGACACTCAACAATGTAACACATAAATTAGAAAATACCCACTGTATATCTTATAAGGAAGGTAGGCAACCTGAATTCAAAATATTTGAATTTACAACCAGTTTTATGTAGTTGTTAAGGTATTGAACTAGAAATATACAGATTCAGGTTTACATCTCCTTTTAGCCACAGAAGCTCACTTGTTGATTTTGGGCCAATCACTTACTTTCAACCCAACCTATCTCAATAGTTATGTGATGTAGAGAAAATTAGAAGGAAGTGTTCTCTGTCTTCTGAAGAAAAGATGGGATATAAATACTTTTTTAAAAAAAATGTCTTGTTGAAAATGGGAATGGAATTGGAAAGAGAAGCATCTGACGCATCTGCAAGGATAATTTTGTTATCTTGCCATTTTGGTCTAACTGTAATATTATTCCTTTGTCATTGTTTGTATGAACTCATTATTTAATATAGTATTATCTTATTTTGCCTTATACTAGACCTTACTATATTTTATAAGCAGTATAAGCTGACATTTGTATTGAAATTGTCAGATAAAGTTACCTTTGTTTCCAAGGGGAAGCCTAAAAGAGATTTATTTTGTCCTCTATCAAACTGTAGGTGTGAGAAGAATGAATTTATTCTTGCCCTCATTATTACAACTTTGAGGCTATTTAGTGTTTCAGTTAAAGTTTAAAACTACAATGTCCTAGTTATGGCCATGAGTCTATAGGGATGAAAGAGAGACAAAGATCTAAGCTAAGGTTGTTTGATGTTGTGGGTTTAAAGTGGCATTCATTGTTTCTTTCCCTGCAATGATGGTCTTGATTCTGCTTTGGCAGTGGGATCTGGCTAAGTCTTCCAGGGAGAGCAGAGGGCAACCAATGATCTTTTGAGCTGTGTTTATCACCCTCTGTACAATTTTCCTGTCCTCAACTGTGGAGTCTGCATACCACACACCCAGACAGTATGTCAGAGTGCTCTCCACAGAGGCTTTATAGAAAGCCAGCAACAGCTTCTTATCCAGATTGTTCTTCCTGAGAACCCGCAGGAAGTGCAGCCGCTGCTGAGCCTTCTTCACTATGGCCTTGGTATTAGGGGACCAGGAGATATCAGCTGAAATATGGATGCCAAGGAATCTGATTGTAGGGACAGTTTCCACTCGTTCTCCGTTGATGATGAGTGGGGCGTGGTCCTGTCCATGTTTTCTGAAGTCCATAATCAGTTCTTTGGTTTTATGGACATTCAGTGACAGATTGTTCTGTGAACACCAGAAAGACAGGTTCTCTACTTCTGCCCTATATGCCGTCTCATCCTCTCTGGAGATGAGACCAATCACGGTCGTGTTGTCTGCAAACTTTATGATGGTGTTTGTTGTGTGGCTTGGTGAGCAGTCAAAGGTGTACAAGGCATATAGCAGGGGGCTCAAGACACAACCCTGGGGGGAACCAGTACTGAGTGTAATAGTGGAAGAAAGGTGGGGGTCAAGTCTAACAGGCTGTGGTCTGTTTGTCAAAAAGTTCTTAATCCAGGAGCACGTGGAGGTGGGGACCTGCAGATACAGTTTGGTTACTAGTATATCTGGGATGATAGTGTTAAACGCAGAGCTGTAGTCCACAAAGAGCATCCTCACATAGCTCTGTTTGTTCTCCAGATGACTCAGCGCTCTATGAAGTGTGATGGCCATAGCATCCTCTGTAGATCGGTTTGCTCTATAAGCAAACTGATATTGATCAAAGGAGGGCGGGAGGCAGTCTCTGATGTGCTGTGAAACTGGTCGCTCAAAAACCTTCATAATGGAGCTTGTTAACACTATGGGCCTATAGTCATTGAGAGTGTTTATATTTGTTTTTTGGGGAACAGGGATGATGGTTGCAGCCTTCAGGCATTGTGGGATGATGACATGTGTTAAAGATAGATTGAACAGCTCTGTAAGTATTTCTGCCAACTGGTCAGCACACGCTTTAACTACTGCACCAGGAATGCCATCAGGCCCAGCAGCTTTCCTGGGATTTACTGCTCTCAGTGTTTTTCTCACCTCATCCACCTGAAGAGAAAGAAGTGCAGCATCGTGGTCCTCATGAGGCAGTCTGTCCAGGTTCTTGGTGGTCTCAAAGCATGCGAAAAAGCTGTTTAGCTCCTCTGCCGGAGTGCTACTGCTCTCGCTGTTTGTTGGGCCCTGGCCTTTATAGTTGGTCAGGGCCTGTATCTCCCTCCACATCTGCCGTGGGTCACTGTCAGTAAAGTGGCCCTTGACCTTCCTCCTATACATCTCCTTAGCATGTTTGATGCCCCTTCTCAGCTCAGCTCTGGCAGTGCTGTACTGTGAGGTGTCACCTGCTCTGAAAGCCAGGTCACGGGCCCTGATCAGAGTCTGGACTTCACTGGTCATCCAGGGTTTCCTGTTTGGGAAGGTCCGTATGCGTTTGTCCAGTGATATTTTCTACACAGGTCTTCATGTAGAAAAGCACAGTCTCTGTGTATAACTCAAAGTCCTGTTGTTTGAAGATGCTCCAATCTGTGCGGGCAAAACAGTCCTGAAGCTGGGAGAGGGCATTTTCAGGCAAGCATCTAATAGTTTGACTGCTAGGTTTTGTTCTCTTCCTAAGGGGAGTGCAGGCTAGTAGTAAAAGCAGGGTGAGATGGTCTGATTGTCCTAAGTGGGGAAGAGGTTTTGCTCTATAAGCATGCTTAATATTTGAATACACATGATCAAGTGTGTTTTTTCCCCTGGTTGGGCACTTAACATGTTGGTAAAGTTTGGGGAGCACAGTTTTTAGGCATGCTCTGTTGAAATCCCCAGCAATGATATGAACGCCCTCAGGATGAGCTCTCTGTTGCATGGTAATTATGTCTTGAAGGTGACTGAGCGCCATGCTAACATTAGCACCTGGAGGTAAATATACAGCAGTGATGGTAACTGTTAGCTCCCGTGGCAGATAAAACAGTATACACTGAACAGTCATGGCCTCTAAATCTGGTGAGCAATGGCTGTTTGTTATTTTGCTGTTTGTGCACCAGTTTTTACATACATAAATAATTAGGCCCCTTCCCCTTCTCTTACCGGAGGCTATATTGCGATCTTGACTGTGCAAGGTCCAGTCCGCTAGCTCCACTGTAGCATCAGGGATTTGTGGGTACAGCCAGGATTCTGTGACGATTAGCAGACAGCACTCACGAATTGTATGATTGTGGGAGATCTGAAGCTGTAGTTCATCCACTTTGTTTACAAGGGATCTGGCGTTTGTGAAGAACATAGATGGCAATGGGGGGTTTCTGCGGTCTCTTCCTCAATTGAGTTAGCAGGCCCGCTCTGCATCCCCACTTGTTTTCTCTCCCTACACCGTCTTCTACGCTTGCTTGATCTGACAACAATCCACGGAGCTCTCGGAGATCTTGCTAGCTCCAATGGTATATTGTGGGATTCTGTATAAGCATAGGTGACTTCAGTTTTGAGTTGCTGTCCTATACTTATCAGGTCTTCTCGACAGTATGTTAGTCCGTTGCAGGATGGAGTAAAATTCAGGAACAAAAAGAAGTAAAAACACAAAAAGAACAGACGTCGGGAGCATTGAGCCGCTGCAACCATGCACGCCGCCATCTTGGGAAAATCTTAGGATTTTGTTTCTAAAGTTAGTTCTAAAGATGAGATATAATATTTCTTCTCTCAACCCATATCAATCTTTTACATCTTATTTCCTGAGAGCATTCTGAAGACAAATCAACATTACCAAATAATCAACCTGTAAATAACTCATAAACACAAACCATACAATGAAATGCTGTATACAATTATACCAATGCAGTTTTATAAAATACCAAAAACATCAATTCTCACCTCTTTGAGAAGTCTTTTTTCATTTGTCTTAGACATCTCAATTTCATTTTTATACTTGTCACTTGTTTCTTTATGTAACCTATTTGTGTTTTCCAACTCTAACTGTAAATTGTTCACCTTTGAACAACAAAAATGAAAACAACTTTATTCCTATTCATAATAACCAAGGGATATATCCAAATAACATCATTTACTTCCTATCAACTTTTTGTACATTTCTATAATATGAATTCTGCTTCTGCATTTTCCTTGCAATGAATCATATTTCTAATTGTTTAAGTTTTCTAGATTTTTGCAACCCAAATATGTTAATCTTAACTATTTCCAAATGTGATCCCAAAATAGTTGAGGTATTGAAATGGACATGAAATCAATGGAAACAAAAGTGAATTTAATGAAATTTTCAAATGTGCCTACTTCAAAAAATATTAAGAATTACTTCAGACCATACTAAAGGTCAGCTAGTCTCTGCTTTTCAGCTAAGCATTTCCACTTTTTCAGGTTGTTTTAAGAAATTAATTCTATAATATTAATGTGACTTTCAAGTAACAACACCTTTTTAGAATCTCTCATGGAAACCTAAAGAAAGAGGACCTGTTTTAATTAATAGTAGAGAAGCATTATCCTTGAGTGACATTCAAATACTTCTGAATCAATTTTGAAAAATATATGCCCAAATAGGTAATATTTGACACTCTTTATTATACCAAACTAATGTCAGCAGAATTGTATTCGGTTGGAGAATTGAAGCCAAATAATTCTTATTTTCAGATGTCTTATTTCAGCTTTTATTCCTTTAGTCTATTATTATACTGTTCTAAGTGTGTATCCTTCAGAAGGCCATAGTATTAAAAAGTAATTCATAAATGCTTTTGTTAAATGCCCTCTGTGTCATACCTTACAGATCTAATTCCTCAAATTTGTATTACTTCTTATAATTTTGTTACTGATGCAAAAAGTAAACATGCCTACCTTTCCTTCAGTAATACTCAGTTGCTTGCTTTCTGATCCAAGTTTCTTTTTCAAGCTTTTATTCTAGTAACAATTCTTAATGAAGACTTTATTTGCATATTTAATTATATACCAACATTTATGCAATTATAGCTATAATGTACACTTCCTTAACTCAAATATGTATTTTCAAGTCTGCCCAACATCATGTGAGCCCATGAAAAGGTGTAGCTCCTTTAAGAAGCAGTCACAAGGAGATAGTCATGCTGCACCCTTGTTGTATTCAGATCCTATTATTCAATTATGTTTTTATAAATCTTTTGGCTGATATTATAGAATCCAGATAAAATCTAGTTCAAACATGTTGTCATTGCATTGCATTATCATTATATACCATTTCCCTACAAGTGGAATAGTTGAAAGTGTAAAAAGCATTATTGCACACATATATAGCACACACATTTTACAGATATTTAATACAAATCACTTTACTTTATTCCCACTTCTATTTTGTTTCTAAAAGGGGAATGGGCCTTTTTAGTGACCATATAAAGCCAGAATTTATTCTAGCACATTACAGACTGAATTTTAAGCTACTCGTGTGAACTGAAGTAATATTTTAAATTACCATATTCCACAGACAATTTAATAGGACAAATCTGAATGAAAAATTTAATAGATACCATATATGCTATGTTTTATGCATGAAATATATCAGTACTCACTTCTTGTTGCAGTACTTCAATATTCTTGATTTTCATTTCAGTCTGCTTCTTTAAATTATTAACCTAAAAAGCACAATAACACATATTTCAAACATTAATAGTATATCACATAATTATTCTAGATGTAATCCTATTGTTTGGAAAGCTGATTTGAAATATTTCTTCTGATTATGATGTATTCAAAACTTGCTATGACTGAAGCTCTAAAAATTGTTTTATCTTCAGTATAAAAACCAAACCATTTGTTGAGATTAAGTGCAATTTAAACATATACACAAATACTTATCTGAAATAAAGGAAGATATATGAGTTATTGATGCATACTCACTTATTACTTTTGATTACAAGTATTAAATGCATAGAAAAAAATTGCAGTAAACATTTTCAGTGATTAGAATTAATAATACATTTCAATTTGATAGAAAGATTGTTTCTGAGTCCTGAAGCACTTCAAAAATGGATAAATATCAAAGTTCCTATAAAGCCTGATAGGTAGATTTTTACATTTTCATACCTTGTTTTCTAATGTTTTCAGTTGTTTTTCCTTTTTTGACATTTCATTTTCAATATTTCTAACCTAGAAATATATTAAAAATATTGACAAATACATTATACAATTCATTACTAATTTAATTAAATTCTATTTTAAAACTATGAGAATTTTTTAACATAGGGAGTTATTTTTTTTTTCATTTCCTGATGGCATTTGAGGGACTAATACATTAATTGTTGCATAAACATTTTCTGCCCATTTGATTCATGAAACCTTAAGTACCAATAATATTTTTGGTAGTCTCTAAACTATTATGCTTTTTTAAAATAAAGTGTGATCAAAGTTCCACATTTGTTTAATTTGTTTAATCCTTCTGAATTAAACAAATATAAATATCTACATGACAAATTCAAAATATACAGTATTAATTATCCATGTTGTTTCTCAGAAGTTGCACCAAACATAACTGAATATAGAACCAATCATTTCAATGGGTTTTTGTTGTACTGATCATTAATCTTTGTATTCAAACCATATTCTTATATCACTTATAGAGTCTTGACCCCATTGCTACATGTTTTTTTCATGCATACTTTTTAATATACCATTCCTATTATACCAGATTTTTTTTTACAATTTTCATGATGTATTCCCAATTCACATCAATATAATAAAGGGACTTAGGACTTGAGACTTGCTTTTCTGCACAGTCATTTTTCATCTTTAAACAAACATTCATTCCTTGCAAAACATATATTACATGCTACTTATCATAATTTGCATATATTAACATTTGTATGTCAATCAGTGTGAATTCATACATTTTCTTCATTTTCATCAACTTTGTTTTTTGCTTCTTCATCCTTCTGTTTTAATTTCTCCATTACTTCCTCTAATTCATTGCTATATAACAAAAATTAATAAATGCAATTACTTCCATTTACCTGTAAAATATTTATAATAAAGACATTGCTAAATTCATATAGGAATTGAAATCCATACATATCCAATAATATTAGATTATGATCTAATGTGTAATCATGCTTGCACATATCTGTATTGAATAACTACCTTTTGTAACCTGCCCCTTATTTATTGCATGTTTGAAGTGAACAACAACTTTTATCTATCAGAGATGCTAGTGAACTGTTTAGGATATTTGCCAAAAAGATGCACTGCTATCTCCAAATTGTGAAGATCTGTCCTAATGACAATTAGTGTTATATGGAGTAAACTTCCACCAGGACATATTTACTTCCAAATAAGCTGTAACAGAGAAAAAAATTCTGATTTAAGTGGTTAATCAAATAAAATACAATCTTCAGGAAAGTAACATTTGGTTCAATACTCCAAATAAAGTCCTGGAACAGCTTTTGGCAAGGGAATGATAAAGCATCCCATTTTTTTTTTGTCTGATATCTGGTGATATAATATTAGTAAAACTAGAGTTAGAAAGGACCATCATATGTAATGGTGTAGAGTTCCAGAAATTATCTGGCGTTTTTGGATTTGGCTTGGTCTAGGATGGTTACAGTTTCCTAGTTGTAACTATGGTTAAGTCTGTCCATGTGTTGTGAAATGAAGGCAAATTGACTTTTCTCTACCTACTTCACTATGTCACATATGTGTGTACGTATTATGCACTTTCAATACAGAGAAATCTGAACCATCAGGAATATGTTTTTTCTTTATTAAACTATGTAACAAATGGTATGTATTTGAATAATGTCATCTTTAGCTTGGGAACCACTGGTTCCCAACTTAATACTCACACAACTAACCTATATAAAATTGATGTCACTCCAATATATATAACATAAGACTGCAACATCTATCCTGTTTTGTATTGGACAATAAAATATGTTTTACTTCTAAAGTTTTACACACACACACACACACACACACACACCCATCCATCCATGAATTTATGTTAGCAAAGGGAATCAGTATGTAAGAATAGAACTATGAAATTAGAATCTATTCTCAAAAAGAACAACTTCATATAATAACTTGAAATTTAAATTTTAATGAACATACCACAGTAAACTTATCTTACTTTACCTTACCTTAATAGGAGGTTAGCTTGTTTTAAAATGTCAATTTGATTTTTGGCTTCTTCATCTGTATTTTTAACATTCTGAACAAAAAAAAACAAGAAAAAATGTAGCAAATGCAAAACTGGTATAAATTAAGTATGTATACTATAAATATTGAATGGTCACTTATAGAACTTTCTTGATCCAGTTTAATGTAGTGATTAAAGCATCAGACTGGAACCTGGGAGACCATGAATTTTACTTCTGCCTTGGGCACAAAACCAGATGGGTGACCTTGAGCCAATTACTTTCCCTCAGCCCTAGGAAGGAAGCAATGACAAACCACTTCTGAAAAACCTTGCAAGAAAACTGTACGAATTTGTCCAGGCAGCCTCCAATAATTGACTGAATGGAAGAAAAAGAAATAGAAAGTTTACTCAAAGTCGCTTTCAGCCTTTTTTAAAAAAGTCATTTAAGTTCTATTCTTATGCATATTTAGAGAACAGTGAAGGCATAGTAAGATGTACTGGAAGCACACAATTATAATTTAGTTTTGAAATTAAAAACAATTACTGGCACAAAAACAATATATACGGACACAGTTTAGTTTTAAAAAAATATAGTCAGGAACTTGCCTTAATATTATCTTTACATTTTTGAAGTTCATCATCTGTCATCTTTTTCTCTGTCATAAGTTGTTCTTTCTCAAATAAAATTTTGTTCCACTCTGTATTTAACTCTTTATTCCTTAGACTGTTAAAATAATACTAGAAATGATTATTTATATTTTCATTTAAAAAAAAACCTACTCTATAACATTATGTAACAAGATCCTACTCTCCAGTAAACAATTTGGTTTCAGGAAAAAACTATCCTGTAATCTGCAACTCTTACACTGCAAAAACATATGGACTACACAACTCGATCAGGGCAAAGCAATAAATGCAATCTACATAGACTTCTGTAAAGCCTTTGATTCAGTGGTACACGACAAACTACTCCTAAAACTAAAATCTTACGGTATCTCTGGACAACTGCATAACTGGATAGAAGCATTCCTGTCAAACAGACAACAAATGGTCAAAATTGGGAGTGTCCTATCAAATTCTGTACCTGTCAATAGTGGTGTCCCCCAAGGCAGTGTTCTAGGACCAACTCTCTTCATACTCTACATAAATGACCTCTGTGATCATATTAAGAGCAACTGCGTTCTTTTCGCTGATGATGTAAAGCTGTTCAATACCACAGACAATACTGCTACCCTTCAAAAAGATCTTGACTATGTATCAGAATGGTCAAACAAATGGCAACTTCAAATCTGAACAAATAAATGCTCTGTCTTACATATTGGCAAAAAAAATCAGAAAATAAAATACAAGCTGAATAGTCAAGATCTTGTTGATGATCCAAGCTCTGTAAAGGACCTTGGAATACTCATCTCTAATGATCTAAGTGCTAGAGCCCACTGTAACTACATAGCCAAAAAGGCATTAAGAGTTGTTAACTTAATCCTACGTAGCTTTTTCTCTGGTAATATCACACTACTAGAGCATACAAAACATTTGCTAGACCAATACTCGAATACAGCTCATCAGTCTAGAACCCACATTACGTATCTGATATTAGCACAGTTGAGAAAGTCCAGAAATATTTCACAAGAAGAGTTCTCCACTCCTCTACTCGTTGTAGAATACCTTATGCCACCAGACTTGAAATTCTAGACCTAGAAAACCTTGAATTACACTGTCTTCGGTCTGATCTAAGTATGGTATATAAAATCATATATTGCAATGTCCTACCTGTCAATGAATACTTCAGCTTCAACCACAACAACACAAGAGCACACAATAGATACAAACTCAAGGTTAACCGCACCAAACTTGATTGCAGGAAATACGACTTCAGCAACAGAGTGGTCAATGTCTGGAATACTCTACCTGACTCTGTGCTTTCTTCCCCAAACCCCAAAAAGTTTAACCTTAGACTGTCTACTATTGACCTCACCCCTTTCCTAAGAGGTCTGTAGGGGGCATGCATAAGCGCACCAATGTGCCTCCCGTCCCTGTCCTATTGTTTCTTTTATTTTTCTTATATGTACCCATTTCATGTATTCATAACTATGTATATACTATTATCTTGTAAGCGATTGACAAATCAAAATAAATAAATAAAAAAAAATAAAAAAGATGTACCAACCAGAACTAACATTAATATAAGACCAGCTAAGGAACTTTGATCCCAATAGCAATTTAATGGCACTTAGCATAAAAACCACTACAAATAAATTGAGAAGTTTCATACTAAGACCATATCTACAGTATATGTACTTCTGGGAAAAAATCATCAAATAATACCATTTTAAAATTGTATGAGTAATAATAGTAGTACATTTTATTATAGTCACTGATCAATTTAGAAACAAAAAGCATACACATTCTGAGATTGCAAATAAACAACTGTAAAACTGATATTGTCAGTGTATGGCATGCTTTACAAACACACAAAAAATTGCCCTTGGACATGTTCAGTGAAATAAAATCACAAATCAAACAGTAGCAATTCTAAGTAGAATGGATATGGATTATCTTAAAATATATCTAGAGTAAGAGTGATCAGCTGCAACCAAACATTTATAATAAGGGCAATGTAAAAAAAGCAAATTAATATTTCAGGAACTCCTTCACTATAAGGACAAAGTCTTTCTTTAGATAGGAAACTCACAATTTCCCTTCAACAACAGCTTGATGGAAGGGCATAAATGTTGTCAGGGTTTCGGGCTCTTCTGAAATTTAAAAACCTTAAAGAGTCATTTTTCAAAAACAAATTAAATATTGCAACTATCTGAGATTGGAAAATTTGGATCTTTATAAAAGGGCAATTTCTGCACTTACCATTTAACTCTGTTTCCTGCCCCCCCCCCCAAAAAAAATACTCCTAATTACCCTAGTTCTTAGTCATTTTGAATATCTTTATTTGCGCAAATATTTGGATATAAAGTGTAATAACAATAACTACAAAATAGAATGTAAAGGAATCTAGTGCTTAAATTTCGTACACCTCATATCATAGGAAGGTTATGTTCTGCCTACAAATTTCATTCTATTTCATTAAAAAGGGAACAAAGGGAAAGAGAAAGAAATCAGATTTCTGAACTTGATTCATGTATGAAGCAAACTAAGTGGCTTTGACACAAGTCAGGTTTGACTGTTTTATGAGTTGTTATACTAAATTCAATAAATGAATTAGGGTGTGTTTGACAAACTTTTCCAGGATCCCCACCAGTTTATGGTAGGAGCATTTTGGTATGGTGCATTCCCATCTAAATCTGGAGGACTCCTGTTATTTGCTCTTGTCCATTCAGCAGTTTGAAAATTTGCTCAGAAGGTAGCAGCATTCTGTGTGCCTTGGCATATAGGCATGCTGACCACATGACCATGGAAATGTCTTCAGACAATGCTGGCTCCCTCAGCTAAGAAATAGAGATGAGCATCACACCCCTAGAGTCAGACAAGATTGACAGGGGACTTGTGTTGTGTTGTGTTGTATTGTAAGGTATTGTAATATAACAGGGGAAACCTTTACATTATATCCTGCATGTCCTTTATATATTAAAAGTAAACCAATCATAAAAGCCTTTCATAACTAATAGCATGCTAACCATATACTAATATAAGTACATACATTTCTTTTTCAAGCTCTGCTTTCAGTGTTGTAAGTTGTTGAAAGCAATTTTGTTTATTTTCGAATTCATCAGACAATTGCATTTCCAAATCATGTATTTCTTTCTGCAGGTAACAATTAAACCATGAATGTACTTTTACAACATACCATTTAAAATAACATCATTAAACAATACAACTTTTTTGGCATTTTCTGGTTTAAAAGAGCCCATTGGTTAAAATGTGTTTACCTTTATGACCACGTGGTTCATTTAACAACCACTTAGCAACTGCTAACAATCATCACAAAACCCGAAATAAAATCAAGTTTGATCACATGGTGCCTTGACTTATAACCAAAATTCTGGTCCCAGATGTGGTAGTTAAGTGTTCTAACTGTTCATATAACAAACATAAATGAAATAAGTCTTTAAATTAAACTTTAAGTAGCCACTTACAGGCAGTCCTCACTTAACAACCACAACTCCCTGGCTCGGTGACATAGTCATTAAGCAAGACATCATGTGACTGCAGTCGGCTAATGACTTCATTCTACTGTGATTAAGTAATTCACTTGCAGTTGTTAGGTGAGATATCATGTTATTGTGATTTGTGATTTTACTTCCGCCTTCTCCATTTACTCTGCTTGTTGGAAGCTGGCTATGAAGTGCACAAATTGGGATGATGTGACTGAGAACACTGTCTTAAATATCTGTTAATTGTAAAGTACCCACATATTGACCACATGACTATGGGGACACTGCAATGGTTGTAAGTGTGAGAATTGGTCATAAAATTACTTTTTCATCACTGTTATAACCTCAGATGGTCACTAACAGGGTAGTCATTAGGCAAGGACTGTCTGAACGTAAGAATTTTGTATGTCCTAATAAAAACTTAAATGGTAGCCTCTCTGCAATTAATTTAGCTATTAAAGCTCTGGAGATGATATGTGTCTCACTAGCTGCTACCAGATAGTTGGTTCCTATATGAAATTGTGCAGTATTTTTCTTTCTTTCTGACATACCAGTAATATTATTATGAACAGTAAAAACAATTATTGCTCATATATGGGAGAATTGTACATTAAAAATCCTGCATATTTTGCCACTTCTAAAACTCTAACAATGACATACAGCTGTTACATAAAAATAGTAAAGTACCACTGAGTAGATGCAGGTAGTCATAAAGAGAGAAATGCATGCTTATTTGCCATTCAAGAGGTTGACAAAGGGTCTAGTACAGGGGTGTCAAACTCAAGGCCCGTGGGCCTGATTCAGTCTGTGGGGTGCTTAAATCCAGCCCATGGGGCTAGCCTGGAAATACCAAGGGACTAGACCGTGGCACCTCTGGCAGCTAAAACGGGGCATATATGGGGCCCCTTGCCTCGTTTTCACCCTCCATGGCCTCCTGCAGCCTTCTGCCGGTTAAAAACGAATTGAAGAATGGGCCAAAAAATGGGACCAAAATGGGCTGAAAAGCAGGTCCAAAAGAGGCCAAAAATGGGCTGAAAAATGGGTCAAAACGGGCCAAAAATGGGCCATGTTACCCATTTTCAGCCAGCAGAGTACTGCAGGAGGCCATTGAGGGCAAAAATGAAGTGCAGGGGCCCTAAGCGCGGACCCCCCTGTGCCCTGTTTTGGCCAGAAAGATGCTGTAGGAGGCATCCGCCCTGCCCCCACACACACACACACACCACCACCAGCCTACAGAGGAGAATTACAATGCTGATCTGGCCCTCAAAGAAATCCAGTTTGACACCCTTGGTCTAGTATATATTTATT